GACTTCACTTGTCTATTTGACGAGTTCGTAAGTTGATGCGGAGAATGGCGAAACTCACTGATGATGCCGATTACGATAGCGACGAAACGTTTGAGAATGTACCAAGTCCACTGTCTGATGCTGGGAATCATGACAACTACTATGGCAGACGAATGTACCAAGTCCACTGTCTGATGCTGGGAATCATGACAACTACTATGGCAGACGACTTCGGACTAGGTGCGTCTACTAAGTCCCCTTGACAACAAGACCAAGTTGCGACAATGAGGTCAACCCACTTATATACATTGAAAGGAGACTGCGACCATACCAGAGGCTACATCTTGGTTTTCATATTTCCACTTAATATCGCCCATTTACCTAACGACACCATTTTGTCTTCTCGGTTCCTCCAATGTTCCCCAAGGCTGTTGCTCCGAGTGGATTAAGTGAAACGTAACCACCTTCATGTTCATATGGCTTCTAGGTCAGGGTTTCTCACTTTCACTTATCCCCTCTCCTCGGCCCCGCTTGTCAGTTGGCCCCTGATGCGGTCTATCTGGCATCTTATGAGGCTTCGGTTCCGGCTCCCTTTACGTCATATTCGAGGATGTAAAGACCTGTGATTCTCATGCCTCGGCTCTTCTTCTCCATCGGTTTCAAACCCATTATCCAGTTTTCCTCTAACTCGTCCCCACACAATTCTCTCGTATTCTATGGGGCCCTGTGTCTGACTTGATTGGGAAGAGCTGATGGGACCGACTGATAATTAGGAGGCTGGATTAACCTCAAGTCTAGTTAGGACGATCACACATCACATACACACAATAGATAATAGCACAAGCCCACACATGATTCAGCATTAGATCGTACACTAGTTTTTTGTGTAATGAAACAACTGCCACCGAACGCATTTCTGGTTGGCGGAAGTTAATTTCACTCATTTGCAAGCATGTGGAGTAGGGTTGAAGTAGCCAACTAAATCATTAGATGCCTCATCAAGATCGCGATGTTAGGTGTATAGAAAATCGACTATGGTTGCAGCCTATGGTTTCCCTTCGAAACGGAGAGCCATGCCACATTATTTCATTAAGGACTTCTTCGAAACCCAGTTTTTCCTCATATTTTGGAAAGTATAATGCATATTGTGGACTCCGGACAAGGTTTGCTTCGCTACGTCTTCACGTAAATATGACCAAGATGCGATTTAAAGGTCAATCTATTGCCATACAACGAAAGGAGACCGCGACGATACAAAAGGCCACATCATCTGTGCCTTCATACCCTTGACAACACTCTTATTGTCTCTGAAGTTGACAATCCATCTTAATCTTAAGTTTCTATTCAGTTGTGCATATATATAGTCAGGCAAGTCACCAGTCAACTCTCACCACAGGTACACACACACTAGGAACCTATTGATATCGTACTCCCTACCTCGATGAACTTCAAATGGACCTAGATATTTAGCCTAGCACAATTTGCACGTACCTTTCACAAGAATGAAGTGTAATCCGACATAAATTTATTAAAGGGATTCTTCGAAAACCAGTTTTTTTATATGACTCCAGATTTGACTCTTCCCACTGCAATAGACTTTTTAGATTTCTCTTTGATTCCCATGATCCTCTTCTTGACGATGTCTCCTGTCATTGAATAGATGTCCTTGTACAAAGTGTTCTCTTGCAGCTGTCCTCGCAGAATCTCCAAGCCTGTCCAGAAAATATGCGAAATTCTTGCTGACTCTTCTCTCTTCCGATCTACCGGTTTCTTTGAAAGAGGATGTCCACGGCCTCTCTGATCTTCCGCTTTATGGTGTTATCCACATATGAGACTAGCCTTTTCATTGCACTCCAATCAATTGTGTGGCTTTAAAGGCAATGCGTTCAGCTATCTCCGATCATTCCATATTCATTTTTATGCATAGTCGCTGGTGTTCCTTGATCCTTGTGCTGATTTTATTTCCAGTCCATCCGACGTTCCTAGTTTTCGCAACTTGGCAGGGAAGACAAGAAGACCTTGTCGAAGGTACATGCTTCTCCGTCCTCTGCCCTCAGTATGTAGAAAAACTGAGTTTCGAAGAGGTTAGCTGCACACAAAACAGACTGCAAAGGTATGTGGTTCCAAAAATCGAAATGGGCCGGAAGCATGGCTCACACAGGACACCAGATAGGCTATTGCCAAATGCCTAGTTGAATATGGAGACTATAGAAGTAAGTGGAAGATTGGGGAAGCAATAGAAAAAAACAAACAACCAACACCCTGAATACAAGGAATGAGTGTAGGAAGTTAAGTGGAAACTACTTGTGGCTGTTGGATAAGATTAGAGAGTGAGGGGGAATGAGAATCACCACTGGGCAAGAGAAGGTTTGATCGGGCTCGATTATGGTTTTGAATCTCACATCACACTCATTTTAAGAGAAATGCATTAATACAACACACGCGCAATGTAACGCAGTCGCATGCGGTAACATTGCAGGATCAAAGGTATAGGTGTTTTAAGGGAGGATGCAGCTGTTCAGTCACAAGTGCATCCGTTTCACACTGCATTAGCAACCACTTTACATGTCATTCGCAGCCACATCACTTTACAGCAAACATTTAGGCAAAGTATAGGATATCCAAGAATGAATACCAAGATGGTGTGGCCTTTGGTATGGTCGCAGTTTCTTTAGAAGTGGGCTGACCTCGTTTACGCAACCTGATCGTGTTGTCAGTCGATTTATTTGGATTAACCTTGTCCGAAGTCCTCTGCTATAGTAGTTATCATAACTCCCAGCATCGAATCGTGGACTTTGTACGTTTCCGGACGTTTCGCCTGCACCATCAGTGAATCTTGCCATTCTCAACACCAAGCTACAACTCAACGTTGTTAATAACAAGACTCACTAACGATGCCAGCGAAACGTCTGAAAATGTATCAAGTCCACGGTCCGACGCTGGGAATTATGTTAACTACTAGAGTAGAGGACTTCAGACGTGGTGGGTCCAAATAAGTCCCCCTGACAACCCGACCTAGTTGCGAAAACGAGGTCAACTCACTTGAATAGGATAGCCAACCCTATTATAAGATACTTCATTGAGTGGACCAAGTTGGACTATAAGAAGTAGGTAGGTTTGAGGCGTTTTGGTGAAGTATAGTAAAGCATGGTGTTCTGTTCTGACGTCACATGACGGATGAAAGCTCATCGGGGTCGCAGGGCGGTGCGCCGAGGAGTTATTTGCACAAATCACAGCAATCCCCATACATTTTTTAATGAGGTCAACTTACGAATCCCTTCCATTCGCCTCTTCGAATGAAATCAAAGGTACTCCAACATCAATTTACTGATACCTCATTATATAATGAATCTTCAGCCGAACGTCGATGTGCCTCGGGCTTGGTGCCTGGAGCCAGTTTTATCAATTACCATACCTTTCAAAATAAAGCATTCAATAAGCATTATTGTTTATTTGATATTAGGTGATAAAAGACGATCCACTGAAAAGGCTAGTTTGCTCAACAAACGTAACCAGTCAATTATAATTTAATTGCCCCTTAAAATAGAAATATACGTTTTTACTCAAAATTTCCCGATAGTCTCAAATCGTAACCGAGCGTCAATTTAAGTCAAAATAGTCTTCACACCGAAGCGAAGGATAAAGAGCATGACACATAATTTTACATAAGGCAGATAAGATGTGCTCCTCTGAAGTCACTTTCTCGGCAAAGTTTTATGCTAATAAGGATGAGCTGTATTTGACGGTAAACTCAGTAGTGGCACTAGAATGCTTAACACGATCTAAGACTAGAAGAGCCATGGAAGCGAAGTTTGTAACCAGTCTCCAAATTTACTGACTGAACTAAAGAAAAGATAGAGTCCGAGTTAAAATGTGCCCCATATAAACTCCATGTTGAGGTGGGACAAAATAACTTCAGGTTCGTGCAACTAAGCCTTCTGAAGGATATATATTTCTTAAACTACATTTAAAGAGAATCCAACCGTGTTTATTGTTGGCCTACCCTTGTGCTGCAATGCGGTGATCCTCATATGAGGATTTATCGACTGTATGGCTTTGGACGCCACTAGACTCTTTGATTGGCCTACATGCTGACGATGGAAGAGAAACTGCCGGTTTAAGTTAGATTTTTCTATATGATCCGGGTCTGTAATCGTGATGTGGGCGCCAGAAACAGCGAGGTCCTGGAGGAATTGATATAAAGGTATAAAAAACGAACAAATATATACAGACAAGAAGTAATAAGTAAACGAACTATAAGCATAGCGAATAAAAAATAATAATCCTACCAATAAGAGTAAGAGTAACGTAATGGGCATCCAGGAAAAAAGGATACGAAAACCTGGGATACTAAAAAACTTTAAGCATGCCTGTGACAAGAGCAGTCCGTATACTTTTGACACATGGCTAAACTGTTGAAGTTTTTAAGCCAAAAGATTTCAGAAAACTATCTAAGAATATGCATACACACTAAGTATACTTTTGGCGGAATCACAAAATGATTTCCCTGAATTAAGGGGATTCTATAAGATTAGAAAATGAGAATTAAAACAAAGTAATTACGGCATTGAAGTGTGATTCTACAGTGTTGATGATTTCTGGTTTATACTTGCACGTGGGCTACAAGTATACATTGATCATGAACCAATTGAGGTTTTCAAGCTTTAAATGGATCCCAGGTTAAAAAGCCTCATCCCCTTACCCATTGGTTCGTCCTACCCTCTTTCCTTAATCCTATGCAACAAGTTGCCTGATCACACCTTAATTAATATAATTTTCGGACCCCCTATTTGGATCAAACTGCTATGAGATTTTGTTAACATGTCCCGATCCTCATGATTGAGGTCTGTATACTCGAAAATACAGAAGAGTTCATGTTAGCACACAGCCACACGCAAAGGTTCAGAAAACAAAACTAGCCGAAAATATGGCCAATACAGGACATCAAATAGTGATATAAAAACCAATACTTAGCCGGATTTTAGACTTCATAGCTAAGCGGAAGATTAACTCAAGGATGATTAACAATATAGCCAAAAGCTTGAATATGAAGAGGAGGTATGGAAAATTAAGCGGAAATTGCCTCTGACTATTAGATAGAAGGCTAGAAAGCATGAAGAACAACCAGGCAAGAGGCTTAATGGAGGCATGATTAACCCAGAACATGGTTATGGTCAAAACATCTTAATTGAATTTCGAGTAATATACACACAACTGAAAATTAGAACCCAGGTAAACACCGCACTACAAGAAAAAAAGTCGGGGCGCATCCACTTCACGGAACGAATCAACGTCACTCATCTACAAGCATGTAAAGTAAGTATGAAGTAGCCAACCAAATAGTGGGATGGCTCGTTATGGTAAAAGAATTAGGTTGCAAAAAGTAAGTGCGATTGTAGCAGACCCCATTTTTGGGTTTAGTGCACTGATGAATTTTCTTGTTAGTGGTTTCCAGGTCTGACGATGTCTGTCACGAAAGGAATGAGGAAAGGTCAATACGGATTAAACTGGGAGATAGGACTGTGCGCCTGAAACTTAGTCGGACAAATCAGCAATCGGAAATGCAATACTTCCCACTTCCTCAGTTTCCGCTGGAGCCATTCTATGAATCCTTTCTAAATTAAAAGTTTAAAGATTAATATTATTATTAAGCGAACCTTTGAAACGTAACCTTTTTATAATTTATAACTACCCATATGTGACCTCTGCTCATACCATGAGGCCTTTCTGAAACCTCGATGGTTACATGCTAGCCTAATGGTTACTATAAGATGAATGATAGGAAAAAGAGGAAGAAAAGAGAAAGATGAGTATCCAAAAGAAAGAGAAAGAAAATAAGAGAATAAAGAAAAGTTTATAAAAGGAACAGAAAGGAGGCAATAAAAAAGAGCAAATTTGTTATCTCCTTGTCTAGAAAAGGCCTATGGAAAACTGATAAAGAGCGTGGAATCTGTTTAGTTGTAAAAACATTGTAAAAGGATAAAACCTATGCGAGGTTAAAACTGCAGTCCACTCTGGATGAGAACACCTATGGGGAAAACAAGGCTACGTGAAATTTAAAAAAACATCAGCTTTACTCATATCATTGTGGGAAAATTCAACTACCAGTCCTTAATCACCTTAAACGAAATAGGGTGAACCCAACTCATATATTGTGAAAGAAGGCAAAAACTTACTTGGTAAATTGATTATCAAAAAGAATGAAAACTAAAATTTTAAATATACACACAAGTACAAAATATCATTCTGGCTAGGTAATCAACATAGAAATAACTGTAAAGCACCAACCTGACCGTCATTTCCATCAGAACCCTCATAATCTTTGTGGGTAGCCATGTTGAGAAGGGCCATATTCTTCAAAAGTTCACAGCCGATGGCGCCGCAACCAACCTGATGAAGAATCAACCCAAAAGATGATTTTATTAAGCTCCACACATGACGAGATTCATGAGAGCGTAATGAGAGTTATTTGGCTCCTTTTAAGAGCAACTATGTGAATAAAGCTAGATGTAAAAAAACTAGACAGTGATTAAATAACAGCAGTTAAAACGAATCATATTAAATGCTCTTGGAATAAGATTGATGGCGAAACTCAGTTATTATTCGTACAATTGAATAAGGTTTATAGGATAAAAATTTAATTCTATGTTTCAGGCGAGCAAGAATAACTACAGCGTAGTCAGTCATCCTATTGCAATTAACAAAGGATGTATTCTTCAACACAGTGGTAGAGGTCAGGAAGCGAAAAACTACTTATAAACGGGAGTAGGAAGAAGGATTCAGGACGGAGAGTGTGAAGGAAGGTGGGCAAGAAGTGTGAGGGAAAAATTGGCGAGCATAAGAGAGCAGGAATAAAGATGTACTGAAATGAAAAAATACAAAATTGAATTGATGTGGAAGAAGAAAAAATGATAGCAAGGAAAGATGAAAGCGAGGCGACTTATACGAACGAAGGAGAGGATGAATACCTAATGGAACAAGAAAAGAAAAGGTTATAAGAGGGAGAGAAAGGAAGTAATAAAAAGGAGCGAATTCGTTACACAGCAACGGGCCGTATATCAGAGGTTATGCTTTATTCAATTAAACCATCAAGCTACAGAAGGTAAAGAGATCTCAAATTCGAATTTGAGCTCGAAATAGCAGTCGTTAGACGAGTGGATGGGCTACGAGCCTTAACAGTGCTCCG